TGTTCTTCATTGTATCATCGGCGCTGCTCCTCCTTTGAGTCCTTCTTACTCATCATGTCCTCCACGCTTGCGATCAAGGTGTTTGACGCCCCATCCCGCTTGTCCTCCTTGGAGTTGGTCTTCCCCCTTGGCCGTTGCTTCTCGTCGTCCCCAATCTCCTCCACGGCCTTCTTTCCCCCACGCGACATGAGGGCGGCATATTGCGTCTTGAACTTTTTCTCGTCTTTGATGACCCTCCAATAATGGAAGAGGTTGAAGCACTTGCCATCGTGTTGGACCTTGAATGCCTCCAAAGCTTGGAATGCCTACAAATGAATTGCATGCAAGCATATTGGCAAATGGATATGGAAATGGACATGCAAGCATAAACGGAATGACACAAAGAGTGCCGCTTGCTAGCATACCATGTCTTGCATGCCGATGCCACTCACGGGGCATGCCTCAATGATCTCAAGAGTGGCACAAAACTTGTTGCACTCTTGTTGGATCACCTTCCAACGCTTCGAAATGGACACTCACCCGCGCGTGCTTTGCATTTGGTACGGCAGAAACTTCTTGCGCTCATGGAACTCGCGATGGACACGAGTCCAAAACGTTGATGCCTTTTGTTCGGCGCCGATCTTCAGGTCTTGCCCAATGTCCCTCCAACACTCACAAAGTAGCTTGTCCTCGGCCGTCGTGTATGCCTTCGTCCGCCTGCTCTTGCGCTTCGGCTTCCCCTCGGCGGCTTGGTTGGCGAGCTCGTCCTGGAACAATGGCTTCCCATCGATGTCCAACTCATCCTCTTCCTCCAGCATGTAGTCCTCCGAAAACACGTGATCGAGCGGGAAGCCGTCCAGGTCCACACCGACCTGATCATGCATGAAGGCGACCTGATCTTGATCAAAGGTGGACGGCGTGAACGCCCCTCGGCCATCCTGGCTTTGTGTCTCTTCGGGATCGTAGCCAGCCCCGGCGGCACCGCCAGCTGCCGCCACACCACCCTCGAAGATGATGTTATGCATGTAGTCACCGTCGCCGGAGGCCGGTATTCCATCGAACAGGTTGCGTGTGTCCGGCAGCATGTCGGCTGGCATGTGTCGCGCGCGTTTCCTCGCCCCTCCAGATGACGAGCCACCTACCACCGTTGTGGCGTTAAGGTCGATGGGCGTGGGCGTGGAAGGTGCCACCATGCTCACCTCGGGCGAGCACTCCCGGAGAGTCGGAGGCCTGCGGGTAGACATGGAAGCCGGGCATCGACTGCATCGCCGACGCGCGGGGCGACTAGGGCAGCACCATCCGAGGAAACGCAGATGAGCCGGTGCTGGCCGCGGCCACGGCGGCGTTGACGAGGCTGTGATGGCCAGGGTTTAACCCTAGGTACATCAGCGCCTCCCACGTTGCCTCCGCGACGCGGGCGTTCGTGGCCTCCCGCTGTGTGGCGGCGGCGATGGCGGCAGCTGCGATGGCCTCCTCCCTTGCGTCCGCCGCGTGCCTCCGGCCCTTTCTCTTTGCCGACTCCCTTGCCCGCTCCTCGGGCGTCAGCTTCTTCTTCGTCTTGGGCACGACGACGGTCTTGCGGGGGGCGCGAGGCTTGCCTTTGCCGGAGGGGGTGGACGTGATGCCGGCCGAGGCAAGGGAGGCGAGGCCGGCGGTGGCATCGAGGCTGGCGTCGGCATCAAGGTCGTCGTCCATGGCGAGCGGTGGGAACGCGCGCGGGCGGGAGGGTTTTGGGAAAAGTGGAGGAAAATGGTGGAGTGTGCCACCGACCAACGGGCCAGGGGGAGGAGTAGGCGGGTGCGCACGCGCGTCAGTCTCGTGTTCGCGCCGACGTAAATCTGGCTTAAAAATGGGCCAGAAATTGGTCGACAGGCGGACGAAAAGCGGACGCACGTCCGTTTGAGTCGACACATTGGGCCGATTTTTCTGTCCGTGCCGACCCAAACGGACGCGCGCGTATGAAATGGGTCAGCGCGTTGGAATTGCTCTCATGACATTGATTTCATATTATGAATGTTGATACTATTTGTTTCTATAAAGTTGGTCAGACTTACAATGTTTGATTTCATATACTTGTATGGAGACAAATCCTAAGTTTATTTGAGCTGAACACAAATGTGGACCAACCCTATAACACCAACGATGTTCCAATTTGCACGAACACAAGTACCTCCGATGTTGGAATCAGGCTTTCAGAAATTACTTGCATTTCGGAAGTTTCATGTCGTTTTAAGGAAAAACATAGTTCTTCGACATGCAACTTTGACCACTTCATGTTATATCATATATGTTCGCAAAAGTTGTAAAATACATTGTTATGGAAATATTCTCCATAACAAAACCAAGGGTGTTATTTTCACCTGTCTAATCTTCACGTTCTTGCATACACATATCGTGAGTTTTTGCTAAATTTGACTGCACACGTTATAAAATGACAAGTATTTGCTAATGGAGCAAGTAACCTCTAAGCGAAAAGGCCAATTTTCCAACATCTTATTGTTTTGGAAGTACAACACGTGCGCACACACACGTGTGTACTCTCTCCGTCTGAAATACTTGTCCTTGAAATGATTGTATCTAGACTTATTTTAGTTATAGATACATCCATTTTATCCATTTCTAGGGC